TAGGAGTCAGCGATAGCAAGCTACGAGAAGGAATAAAGTCAAATGGTTTAAAACCTAAACTAAGGCAACACTACTATGTTATCCTAGTTCTAAGCCTTCATAAAATCTAATAACAGAAACGTATAAAAAGTGGAAGTCATGGAGATTACTACGAAGGCATTAAAAGGAGATAGAGATGCTACACCCTATGGTTGTGACCCACACTACTCGACTACCCTGGTCTTAAGTCTCCATACTTTTCTATCAGATGTCATGTCCTCGGTAAGGGCTAATTCCTTCAAATCAGATCTCAAGCAGTCTACCCACTTCCTCTTTGGTCGTCCTCTCTTTCTGGCACCGTCGAGTGTAATTGACTCTACCCTCCTGACTGTATCTGACGTTTGTCACCTAAGGACATGCCCAAACCACCGTAGCCTTCCCTCTCTCAATTTTTTGGATACAGGAACCACCCCCAAGGACATCCTAATTGCAGAGTTTGGTGTCATGTCCCACAGAGTTTTACCACATGTCCATCGAAGCATTCTCATTTCTGCGGCCTCCATCCTCCTTACATGATCCTTCTTGATTGCCCAACATTCTGATCCATACAGCAGCGCTGGTCTTATTGCCATTCTATAAAATTTTCCCTTAAGTTTTAGAGGCACCTTCTTGTCACACAAAACTCCAGTTACAGCCCTCCACTTTAGCCATCCCGCCTTTATACGGTGTGTAACGTCATTATCTATACCCCCATCTTTATGTAGCATAGACCCCAGGTACTTAAAACAATCCCTTGTGGGGAGAACGTGTCCTTCTATGCATACTTCTAGATCTTCATCGTTTTGGTTCCCACTAAAGTTTGAACATAAATACTCTGTCTTTTCAATATTGATCCTTAGACCTTTTTCTTCCAAAGCAGTCTTCCAGGAAGTCAGTCTACTATTCAGTTCAGTTTTTATTTCAGCAACTAGGACAATGTCGTCAGCGAAAAGCATACACCATGGAACACCGTCTGGTGTCGCACAAAAGATGTCGTCCATAATCAAGGAGAAGATGTAAGGGCTAAGAGCAGACCCCTGGTGGAGTCCGATTTCCACCGGGAAAGCCTCGGTATCGCTAACTGTAGTCCTGACGTATGTAGTAGATCTACAGTACATATCACGAATCGCCCGGATATAAGCAGTTGGGATCTGTCTCGTTTCCAAGGTCTTCCATATCGTATCGCGGGGAACGCTATCATACGCCTTCTCAAGGTCAATGAACGCCATGTGAATATCTCTATTTTTTTCCCTATATTTCTCCATAAGCCGTCGAAGTAGATGAATCGCCTCCGTAGTAGGCCTGTCTGGCATAAAGCCAAATTGGTTTTCCAAAATCCTAGTAATCTGTCTCAACCTAGCCTCTATCACCCTTTCTCATAGCTTCATGGTATGACTGAGTAGTTTAATACCTCTGTAGTTACCACAACGTTGGGGATCTCCTTTATTCTTATAGATTGGTATCACCGTAGACTCTCTCCACTCCTCTAGCATCTTGGCAGTCTCTAAAATAATATTAAAGATATTGGTCAACCACTTAACTCCACTGTCTGGCATAAAGCCAAATTGGTTTTCCGAAATCCTAGTAATCTGTCTCAACCTAGCCTCTATCACTCTTTCCTATAGCTTCATGGTATGACTGAGTAGTTTAATACCTCTGTAGTTACCACAACGTTGGGGATCTCCTTTATTCTTATAGATTGGTATCACCGTAGACTCTCTCCACTCCTCTGGCATCTTGGCAGTCTCTAAAATAATATTAAAGATATTGGTTTACCACTTAACTCCATCTTCTCCTGAGGACGATGAGAATTTGCTAAAGAACATACCCATATTAGATAGGGTCATCGTCATTTCAGCTGGTGTCGTCGCCAATATAATTTTTGCCTACGCAATCATCTTTACTCAAGTCTTGTCTGTTAGATTACCGGTGCAAGAGCCATTCTCCGGGGTGCTCATCTGAAGGGGATTCGAGACAGATGATGTTGAGTTGTCAGATTACATCTTAATGGTGCTGAGATAATATGAATTGGCAGATCAGCACAAAAGTGGGAGATGATTGTGATATGTTCTTCATTTGGGCTATTTTGAGTGCGTTTCAGTCTTTTGGTCATAACTTTGGTTACAGGTGTCGGAATTGCGCACAAGACCCAAATTCGAAAAGTCCTTTTCAACGCGCACGATGTCCACATTGAGCATAGCTCCATGTGGTCTTTTTTTCAACCTCGAATTCTATCGTTTTCCCCTCCAAATCATTAATTTTATTTATTTTTTTACTATTTATGATAATATTTCGTTTATCAGTTAGGAAGTCAATTTAAATCTAATTTGGGCTGGATTTTTTACAGGTTGTTTATTTTATTTCAAATTTAAATTTAGAATGATTTTCGGGATTTTACTATTTTTAGTAAAATTCGGATAAACATGATTTTTGGCTATAACAGTCTGACTTGTGGACTGATTTTTGGCATTGTTGGATTTTATAATATTTCGTTAAACCCTAGATACTTGTTTTCTCTGGTTTTGGATGAATTTTCTCTTGTGAATCATCTGTTGGAACCAGCCAATAGGATAATCACTATTCTGTCCGGCGTCATCATCCCCGATGTTAGACCCTTTTCGGCTGCTTCCCGCGACGGCCTTCTTCCCGATGATGTTATCCTTTCTATTAATGGTATCGAATTGCTGAAAACTGGGCCTAGCGTAGTTTCTCAAGTTGTTGACATTATAAAGAAAAATCCCAAAAGAAATGTGTTCTGAGGGCAAAGCAGGATTTTGAAATTGGGGTTGTTCCAATGAGAATTTTGATGGAACAGGGAAGATTGGAGTACATTTATCACCAAACATAAAAATAACTAAATTGAGACCCAATAATATCTTTGAGGCCTTCAATTATACTGGAAAGGAATTCTGGGGTCTCACTTACAACGTTTTGGATAGCTTGAAGCAGACTTTTATGAATTTCTCACAATCAGCAAGCAAAGTCTCAGGTCCCGTTGCTATTATTGCCGTGGGTGCTGAAGTTGCACGGTCCACCGTGGATGGCCTATATGAGTTTGCAGCTCTTCTGAATCTTAATCTTGCAGTCATTAATCTTCTCCCTTTACCTGCTTTGGATGGTGGTTCACTGGCCCTTGTACTTCTAGAAGCAGCTAGAGGTGGACGGAAGCTTCCTCTAGAGCTGGAGCAACGGATAATGTCATCTGGTATCATGTTTGTTTTACTACTTGGGTTGTTTCTTATTGTCAGAGACACACTAAACCTTGAGTTCATTAAAGATTTGTTATGAATATAGAATTGCCTTTTGAAGTTTGGATGTCACTTGTGTTGAGAACACTTCTTTATTGAGATAGAGTCAGATGAATCCGATCCATGCATACGATGTCTTGTAGAGAAGATGAATTCATAATTCTTGCTTCTGCAAAAGATTCTATATTGCAGGTACTTTTAGTTTTTTGGTCTCCTTTGATTCCATCAAGATCTCTATATTCCCCATACTGTTGTACACTAGGATTTGTTTGAAGATAGTAATGTAGAGGAACAATGGGTAATGGTTATGGACTTCAAGAGCTTGTTTCCGTTACATGATAATGTCATTGACAATTACATTCTGATTGATATAATTTCATGTTTAGAGTAGGAATTGTGCTTTGAATTGACGATAGGATTCTTGAATGCGATGTGCTGATGATGCCTGCCGGTTATTTGAGTTCATGGAGAAAGATAAGCTCATGTTTTCACCGAAGTTCCTCTTTTATGCTAAAAGTTTTATGTTCATTGAATACTTTTCAGTTCGTATATAAGTCCAACTTGGTCTCTGTTGGAGCAAGTTTCCCATAAAAAAAATTGATGCCTTGCCTCCTCGTGAGCCATGCATCTTGATCGAAGATAAAGGGATTTGGGGATGTTATCGGATTAATTAGCAAAATATGGATGTTTTTACAGAGATCAATGAGGATTGCTCTATTTTTTTTCTGGGTACCAAATTATAAAGAAATGAAAGTGGACTAAAATATATTTTTTTGGATAAATCAACATTAAGTGAATTTCACACGCCTTCTTTTCATTTTATTATAGTATTTTTATAAAATTTTATTTTAGTCCTTGCACTTTTCATTTTCTTTTAATTAGGTCCTAAAAAGCAAATTGGAGCAAAGTTGCCGGCAACTACTGTCAATTTTGTCCAAGTCGATTTCAGCTGCTGACAACTTCGTTAGTAGAAACATTTCTATTTCCCTAGTTAATCCAATACCATACCTAAGTTTCTATTCCCCCCCCCCCCCAACATCCATTTCCCCTAATATTGCCAGGGAACTGAAATGAGGTGTTAAGATGGGTTGCTGGTTGAGGGGATTAATATCAGTTGAGGTCTAATCTCAAGAAAGGTTCTGTTTCCTCCTCCAGAAGAGAGGATCATCACGCTAAACTTGCCAACATTGTCAACCGATTAATATACCGCTCCTATAACTAAATGCATAATTAGTAATGGGGCTGGTCTGGTTGCATCTTCATCAGGCAACACAAACAATTACTATGATCCCAACCCAAGGGCACTAGTTTCTCTCGCCTCGACAACATGGGAATTTATAAAGGAGATTTGGGCCGGACAAAAGAACCATCATGTCCTATCGTACTCTGTCATGTTGTCATTTGTTGAAACGCGTTGGGATGGTTTTCGCTCTTTGCAGTCGTGAACAGCTAATTAGTCTGTTATCATCTTTGGTCTCAGCTTAGAATTAGATTTCAGCTCATGCAGTTTTCTACAATACGACGGTGGTGAAAGCAAGAGATGGAAGAATAGAAGAGATGAATCCATATTGGGAAAACAATGAATCCATTCCACAACATATTCGAGTAGCTAATAACAAATGCATCAGCATGTCAATCCTATATCTATATAACTTCCCTAAGGACAACTTGAAACAACCTTAAAACTCAAATGAAATCATCTGTCGTCTCAAAAACATGGAACCTGCCCAAGAAGAAAAGGAGTGGAGTGGGGAGGGAACGGGATCTTCCTCCGTTTGACAATCGAGCAGCTCACGGTCTCCCATGCATGCAACAAATGCACTGCCATTTTCTTGATAGTATAATTTGAAGTCGCTTAGTCACATGGCCTATATATAAACAAAACACCTAATCTTTCGAACCTGCAACAAAGAAATAATTGATATTTATTAAAATGGTATTTGAAGTATATTCTTGATTGCATCTATCTCGCCATTCCAATATCATTTCAGTGCATTGGACCCAATCTTACGTAAAGTCTTGTCCGTAGGTCATTTATACTCGAGATGCAGTTTTGTAGAAAATCCACATTTCAAACAAGAATTCAGACCTAGGGTTGAACCAGCATACTTACGCAAAGGGACATAAACTTCAATGACAAATAGAAATCACCAGAAAAATCTAGAAAAATATCTGCTGTGCTATGTCACAGTCACATACAGGCGGATCTACTAAGTCCCCTACGGGAGCAATTACATACCTATTACTTTGGAAAAACTGCTAAATTTAGTTCAAAATATTAAGGAAAAAAAAAAGGAAATTTGCAAACCTATTTTCTTTAAAAAGAAATATTAAAAATTTGAACCCTATTTTTTAATATCTAGATCCGCCACTCGTCGCAGAACACATAAAGCCTAAAGGGAAAAGTAGGCTGCTGACAAACTGTGATGACTGTGATATATACCTATAGGCAAAAGATGTAAAAACTCTGGAACTCAGCAATATTAAAACCATATGCAAAACCAAGTAACTTAATCACACTCAAAACATACAGCAAGAGTGCAACCTTAAACCTTAATTCCAGAAATCAGATTTTTATTAAACTGCCTTTTGATAAAGGTCGAACTGCGCTATTATTCCCTACACGTGAAAAAATGGCAGATTGAGTTGAATCCCTCTATTTTTATTGATTGTAAAATTCAATTCAATCAATAATGGTGTTAAAATTTCTTTGATGGTAATGCTGAAATGGCCTCTGACTCATACAAATAAAATGAAACATGTAACCATAAAAATTTCTGTATATTTTCAATATTCTATGTTATTGAACTGGATTCATAACATGGCATCAGCAATGGACTACTCATAAAAACAATATGAATATTCAACACTTCATCCAACTCAAGTAAGAACAGGAAAAATGAATCAGCAATAGACTACATCAAAAACACTAATGCTTCATTCAAATAAAGTTCCCTCCCAGTCCTAAATCATTATGTGCCCAAATCAAGAATGAAAAACCATGACAATCACATCAATGTCTAAAAATGATAGGTGAAAGTCCTAATATAAGGTAAAATCAAGTATGAAAAACCATGACACTCACAGCAATAGACTTGATGCGATGCTACAACATGCATGATTTGGACATAAACTGAGGAAAAGAATGACCAGGTTAATAAAAGATAAGCATTTATGCTTCTAATGGTCAATTATTAGAAAAACTACCTAGTCTTCTAGCCTTAGTAGGATTTGATTCACAAATTTATCTTGGTCATTTAGAGGAATAAAGGCTTATGGTGGGCTTGGTTGAGTGGAGAACTGGAAGGATGAAAACAAGGAGTAGAAAAGTAGAAAGAAAACAAATTTGAAAGCGCATAGTAAGAAAGAAAAGTGAGAGGAAATAAATGTGAAAGAATAATATTTTCCAGCATAAAAACAAATCATTTCAATTTGAAATGATATGAGGAGAGAAAATGAGAAAGATGTAAGTTAAGGGTTTATATTTACTAGATTGAGCATTTGTATAAATTTTCATTTTCTTTCCCCTCATTTTTCAATGCTATCAAGCAATGAATGGGAAAAAAGTTTTTTTTTTTCTATTTTTTCATCTTTCCTACCGAGCCCTCATTTTTTCTTTCTATCAAGAGAGATACATTTTCTATCTTTATACTTTTCTCCTCCAATTTTTTATCTTTACAATCTTCTTTCCACCTAACCAAGTAAAGTCTTAGTGTTTTGGATTGTTTCGATCACTCATTGTATGTCTAAAACTTGGATGACAAAACACACAACAAGAAATTTTAAGTTGAATGTTTGAGAATAATAAAGTTCAAATTAGTAACCTTGAGCGTTAGGCAGTAGATGGCAAACAAAAAGGTGAGTGATGTTAAAAACTGACACTTTAGCAGAAAGGAATGATAATGGTCAAGGGAGACAGTATAAAACCGGACGGCATATAACATGGTCGAACAGAGAAAAGAAGTAACACAGAGAACAGAATATAACAGCAGATGATGGATTCTACAAAATTAAGCTGTGATTCATCAGATAATAATTTTTATCGTCCTTTTCTAGAGTAATGGAGAGAAATTATGAATCATACCTTTGCGAGGATGGAAAAAGCGAGTGCTAAATCTTTCTACACGTTCCAAAATAGAGCTAGTGTGGGAAGGCACCATGCTTGACAGTCTTGCAGTGGCTTCTCTTTGAAGTTCAGAGAGCTGAGGTGCAAACCTATACCTGGCAACATCAGGTTTAATCTTGGAAGAGACGAGATGCTGTGCCCCGCTTCTAGTTATTTGAAAAGCTGGGAATTTGGAAGTGAAAATACATCAATTCAAGGCAGTGGGCAATAGGCAAAGAGAGAGAAGGTATACGAACCGCTGTATGGAAGTTGAAAGATGTAATTAGCAGGAAGGCCAATGCCAACACCAGCAAGTGTAAAACCCACACTGAAACCAATCCCGCAGCCAGCTCCGACATAACCAATGACCTCGGGGCCAAATCCAGGACCCCATCCAACGCCACACCCAATGCCTATTCCCATACCCCAAAACGCACCCAAAGTCGGATGCACTGGGTTCCATCTTTCGTATCTCCCGAATACACCTTTTATGATCATCGGGTCCAGATGAATCAGCAATTAGCAAACTACAATGTTCAGCAGCAAGGAGCCTGGCCTAAGGCTAATAATGGAATTAGAAGGTCAAAAATGAAAAAGAAAGTGAATAAAGGAATCATGGAAAGATAAGAGGCATTACCATCGAATATCAAATCAATCGCTAAAACAGCGTGTTATAGCTCTGATCCAGTTATCCCCCCCTTGGGCTGTATGTGTGTGGCCTTCGGTTTGCCTATATTATGTTTGGGATTTCATTTTCGTTGACGATTCTCATTACACATCATTTATATATTTTACCTGATCAACGTTAAAGACGGAGTACTAAAACAATGGTAGGTTTTTAGTGTATATACAAAAGTTGTTATTAAAACTTAACCTTGTTCGAGATATAAAATCACATTCATATTTTCGTATTTTACAGGTTGATGAAGTGCAATCAGAGCAAAGGTGTATCTGGTGATGAGCCTATCTAGGTCATGGTCGGTCATCAAATGTCTCAAAAATCCAAGAAAATAGACTATAATTTTAAAAAATGTGTTAAAACATTATATTTGTCAAGTTGATATAGTTTTTTAGATTTGGTCTGAACATATATATAGTTGTTATTATATTTTAAAATTAAAAATATATATGTAATATGTTAAATAGATTTTTTATTATATTTATATTGATCTAATTAATATTTTTTATTTATCATAAATCAAACGGATATTAAATGAATTCAGACAACAATTTTTATTTTTTATTCCACTTAAATATATATTTAGCTCCCGAAGTTTCCTGATCCAAGCACAAGATCAACAGGATTGACACATATTATCACAAACAAACAATTGGTTGCACCGATAACAATATCTGTATGAGCCAGAGATGTGGGTTCCCTCTTTATTGCAGCTGGAATTTGAAATGTAGAATCTAAGGTGCAGCCACCTTAACAGTTGATGGCTGGGGCTTAAATTCAACTATGACTTTCCCCTCATTAGAGCTTGAGAAAAGGGATCCTAAACTCTCCCCGAAGCTTTTGATTCCTTCATAGAATCTGATCTTAGAACGTATTTTGCCATGTTTTATATAGCTCCCCATCTCCACTGCAAAATCTGAAAACCTGTCCAAATAGGAACCTACAAGATAACCCTCCATTCTTACCTCCTTTCCCACAATATTTAGCAGATTTCTGACCCCTTCCCTCTCTCTCCAACTCTGCATGCATGCATGCAAAATATTGAAATCCAAGTAAGTTTTCATCAACACAAGCACGCTGGTACACATGAACTATGTTATTCCGACTCGAGTATAAGTGTCCATCATTAATACTTCATGAAAAATTAAGAGTTCGAACAACGTAATTGATGAGAAGTAATAGTAGAAGAGACCTGGTTATACTGAGAAATCATTCCACAAACAGGAATCCTTGCGTGAAGGTTGACGTGATTCAGAACAGCCTCAAGCAGTTTACCACCAACATTGTCAAGGTATACATCAATACCATTAGGGAAATACCTGTGTATTAATTAATAGTATCATATTTCAAATCTTTTTGATATAATAATAATTTATTTTTAATTTACATATCAAATAAATAAATTATTTATCTCTCAATTTTCATATTTAATAGACATTTATCCTTTTGATGTAAAATAATATAATCCCTATCAATATTTCATTCTAGTCTCATTCCTATGCTATGTTTTACAAGGCATAAAAGCAATAATATGGATAAATTACTTGCTCAAAGCCGCGTCAAAATTTGTTTCTTTGTTGTAGTTGAATGCGTCGTCGTACCCGAATTCCTCCTTTAAGAGTCGTACCTATTTTAAAGAAAAAATGTTATTGTTGATCTATGTTACAGATTTGTGGTTCCCTTTTAATAATAAAAAGGTAAAATATAGTTCATGTCACTATAAACATGATTTTAGTAATAAATGAATCATATTTTAAAAATTTATAAATATTTACTCAATTAAAATATCAATATAAACATGTGATTAGACGTTAAATACTAGACAAAATAATGAAGTGAAACGCTATAATAATAATTGTAATCCTTAAAATTTATATAACCTATTAATTTGGTTCAATTCAAAAAAAATCAATAAATGTAACTCTTCGTATTTAATTTTTTTATCGTTTTAATTTTTGTTATTCTCTTAAATTATTTGTTCATCTCTAAAAAAAATATTATATTATTATCTTGTTACTCTTCTGACATAATAACAATTTAACAGTAATTTGTTGTTACTTTATAATAAAATATTATTATCTAATTATTTATGTGATTCGATGGATTTACTTTGTTCGACAATATCGTAAAAAATATTAATTTGATGATATTTAATTATGAGAGGTTGAATTTATTAAATTATTTTAAATTAGGAAAAATTTGTTAAAATTGTACAAATTTCTTAGACTAAAAATATTATCAAATATATAATTAAACAATCTGAAGTATATTTTATCTTAAAAAGGTAAACTACATGTTTAGTGCCATAACTATCACTTTTGTTTTGTTTTGGTCACTTAATTATTATTTTTAAAATCATACCTAACGTTACATTTTGGTCATCCGCAGTTAAAAAATAGTAGAACTACTAGGGATGGGCATGGGTCGGATTTTTGGTCCACCCGAACAATGTCTCCACCCGAAATCCGACCCGACCCGCATAATATATATCCGACCCCGACCCAAACCCAACCCGATTTTTTGAGATAAAATCCGAACTCGACCTGACCCAAACCAAATAATAAAAAATATTATTTTTATTAAAAAAATTGTAAATTAATTGAAAAATAATAATATATAGAGGAGTATTATTGTAATTATTCTTAAATATATAAGGTAAAATTATTGTTATTTTCGGGTCGGGTCGGGTATTTTCACCCTAAACTAGAATCTGACCCGAATTGAAACCGAATATAAAAAAAACCCCGACTCGATCGGGTAGTAACCCGTCGGATTCAGGTCTCATGCCCATCCCTAAGAACTACTGACATTTTAAATTTTTTATTTTTTCAATGATGATGTCGCATTAGCTTATAGTGACATAATAACATCATCAATATTATTTTTTTAATAATGAGGGACTAAAAATGAAACTAAAATATAATGTTAGATATAATTTTGAAATAAACTATAGTTGGAGTGATCAAAACTAAATAAAAGTAATAGTTAACTTATTAAACGTGTAGTTTACCATTGAAAATAATGTTAATTTTCTCTGCAAAACTTATTTTCCAAACAAAAAATTTGTTCAATACGATCATCAAAAAAGAAATCGTAACCGATCATTTTTTTAAAATACAAAAATATATAAAAATGAAGAATTTATGTGAGATTATCATAAATAATATAAAATAAAAATAGAAGAACTTTAGTATAAAAATAGCAGGGGGGGGGGAGAAGTACCTTGGCATCCGATCCGGTGCTTCCAATGACTCGACAGCCCTTGAGCTTAGCCAACTGTCCGGCAACCATTCCTACGGCACCCGCCGCCGCTGATATGAAAACGTTCGATCCCGGCTTCGGATCCCCCAGCACATGTATCCCCAACCACGCAGCAAACCCAGGAAGCCCTATAGGATTACCCCATCATAGTGAAAAAACTAAAGGATACTTTACGTACTAAATTAGCCCATGGCCGTAAATGAATTGAGTTTAATCGAATAATAATGTGTTCATTTTTGTTTATTTATTTTTAAGGGGTTTATGTTGAATTCTTATTTATTTATTATATTTGTTTGTTTAATTTTAAATATATTCATGTTTGGTTCGTTTAATATTCACAAATAATAAAATTATGTTATTAGTCCTTAAGCTCCTTAAATTTTACAGCTTGATTTTTTTACTAGTTCAATTTAATTTCTATCCTTACTAATATTTAAAACATAAAAAAAATGATAGCTCAGTAAACGAGTTTATAAACTAGTCAATAAGCTTGTTCTTAACATAAATAAACCGACCATACATCTATTTGTGTTCATTTATTTATTAAATGACATAAAATTTATGTTTATAATCGTTTATTTAACTTGATAAACGAACATAAATAAATAGTTCATTATAATTAATCGAAAACTATGCTCATTTCCATCTCTATCCAAGATCAGTAGTTTAAATTATGAACAGTTACCGAGACAATTGAGGTGCTCCGTCAAGGGAATTCCAGCGGCGGGGTCAATCTTTCTTACGATGGCACTGGAAGGCACAACGCAGTATTCAGCGACAGGTAAGAAAGCACTCAACAGTACATCACCCTCGCTGTACTTTTCATCCTTGGATCTCAACACTATTCCTACTCCAAAAGCAGTGATCACCTGCACGTATGGGTTTATTACATATGCATATAGCTAAGCTGATTGCGGAGCATTACTACTAAAGTGTAAATGAAATTGACCTGGTTAAGGGGATACTGGGAAAGACATAGACCATCATCGTGGCCGCTCATTCTGGTACGAATATAAGGTTCAACGGAGATGAAGAGGGTTTGAAGGGCAACGTGGTGGTGGGGTATGGAATCGAGGGATAGCGACACAGTGCGGAGCTTTAGATGCTGCTCGGTTGTCGGTACACCTTCCGCTGCGTACGAAGCCAAGTACCATTCTTTGCTTTCGACCATGTTCAATGCCATCTTCTCTGCACAGTGGACTGGCAATGCAATGCAGTCTGATTTAATCCAACTTAACTTCGCTTGTCGATGTGATGTTTCACCAGCCAAGCGTCTGGTCCGTGGTCACCTCACCGTCCCTTGTCAAGTTACCCCTTACCCATCAATATTAAAAAAAGTAGATTTGATGATCTTTGCTTATTATGTAGGCTAATTTATGGGAATTAATTTCCCTTCAAAAATCAAATACTATAATAGTATTTAAAAAAATTATTTAAAGCAATGACATTTTTTTCGTGATAAAGACACCTAAACTAATTATTTAGGTAATTTATATCATTTAAATATTTTTCTTCCAAGTATTGTATTTAGGAATCAGCATGTGTTGGTTTCCTACTAATCCGATCTAACTGAATAAAAATATGTCATTCACTCAGAATACGATTCGATTTTGAGTTTAAAGAGATTTTATCCTGAAATCTGATTCATTTTTTGAGATGAATCTTGAACCCGATCCCACCTGTTACATATATATATATATATATATTAATTTTATTCTAGAAAATATGGATTTTATTGGAAAAATAATATGTATCATAGCCATTTTTTTACAAAACAATTAAATATTATTTTAAAAACAGTTAGATTTTAATTTTGGAAAAATTGGTGATTTTAAATTAAATTGGATAGAGTTATCACCGACCTTTGGGTTAGGTAGGTCGAATACCTAAAACCGTCTTTTAAAAAACAATTTTAATAAAATCGTTTGAAGATAAAAAGCTAGTATGCGTCACCAAAGATTCGATTAAATGAATTCGAAAGTCGGTTACGCGTTGGGAAAGATTAACACCTGAAATCACCAATTTTCAGCCCCGTACCAAGCCCAAAGTTTGACCCTGATCTGACCTAGAACTAACCCAACCCGGTAGGCAACCATGTTCTTTATCCACCGACAACTACAATTACCACCAACCGAATTCCAGCTAAATCCACAACAAAAACATAATGATATCAATAGTTTTTAATTTATCATTGTGTTTCATAAAAAGTAAAAGAAAAAAAAAGTTGTAAAATCGGGTTATATAACCCGAAGCAAAAAGATGTATTTGGGGGAAGGGGTTCGATTCCCATTCGAAAGTCAATAAAAGCAAAAAAAATTCAAATATTTTTTATGGTATTTACATTTTATTTTATTTTTTTATTAGCTTTCAAAACAAAAAATAAAAAAGGGAAAAATGGCATATTATCTTTTGTCGGAGCCTTGTCGGCGTTCGGAGGGTGAGAATGAGCATCTCGAGGAAGGGAGCAGTATATTAAAATTTGGGCCCGATCCAACGGCGGACGGAAGAGATCGAAGCCCGAGAAAGTTGAGCGGTCTTTGACCATTTCACGACAATCGAAGCATCCTCTAATGAAACGGAGCCCAGATCCGTGACCACCGCGTCGAAACACATTTTAGGTCCCCCGATAATTCCCGTATTTTTACAAAATGGTCACTGAAAGGGACTGATTTAGTAATATTTCATTTTTTGTTTGTGCTTTAAACTTTTTGGTATAATTTCAATTTAATCCCCATATTTTTAGCGTGTTTTTACACTTTAGTCATGTGTAGTGACATTTTAATTTTTTATGAAACTTCGTAAACCGATTTTGTAATTCTTCCTTTTCTATGCATTTGTTGTTACTTTTTAGGTTATTCTCATTTTTAGTCCCCAAAATTTGTCGTGTTGTTACATTTTGGTCACTGGATCTTTCGTTTCTAATTTATTGCAATTTTATCATTCTATTTTATTTTAGTTTAGTTTAGTCATTGTTAGTTTCTGATTTAGCTACTGTTATTTTAATTTTTACATTTGGTCACTATTTATTTCCTATTTAACTACTAACTTTTATTTGCTTGCATTTTAGTAATTGTTATTTTATTTTATGCAATTTAGATCCTTAAGTTTTAGGATTTTATATTTAGGTCTCATAGTCATAGTTTAACCCTTTGACCATTTAATCCCCAAACTTACTTAAAACTTTAACATTTACATAAACAAATAGGATTAATATTAGAGCCTACGTTTTTATATTTAAGCCCATAGGTTCTTTAATTTTCATAATTTGTCTCCGTAAGTTAGAAAAAGCCTTAATTTACTTTTAGTATAATTAGGATAAATAAAATTTTGCTTGATCACATTGTTTTTATAAATCTAAGGCACTGTTCACTTATTAAGGAATTAATAGTATATCTCCCGCGATCATGCTCAGGGGGTGACTACTAGTAATTCTCTAAATAAGTCGACATCATTTTCAAAACCGCATCACGTTTTCTAAAAACGAGACAATATTCGGTTATTAGGCACAATAGCTGATCTTCCGCATTTACGCTCGGGAGTGAATGCTATCGGTCTTAATAAATGAATACACTTTTCAACTTTACATCCTTAATGATTTTTAAATTAAATAAAAATTGAACTCAAATTTTCTGATTTTAAATATAGGGTAATCAACTAGGTATCAATTTTCGGGTGCTTGTAGGGTGCTAATCCTTCCCCATGCGTAACCGACTCCCAAACTTGATTTCTGGATTTTTCGTAGACCCCAAAACTCGGTATTTTATTAAAATAAAATGTTTTATTAAAATCACCCAGTTTTTACGGTGTTCCAATCTCACCTTAAATGATTGGTGGCGACTCCTCACATTTCGAAACGATTTTCAAAGAGAAACCCCCAAGTCGGTACCAGTCTTTTTCCCGCCCTGGCGAAAAACGGTATCGACAACACCATCACAACGCCCAAATTTTGGTAGCTAAACGATTATTTAATGTTTAAATATTGGGAATTATAAACTCTAAAATATATTTAAATTACGATCCTTTTATTCATTTGAATTTAATTAAAAAGTGTGTACAATCTTCGGGAACACACTTCCTTTGTAGTTAGGAGGTTTTCCCATAAATTCCCTCACAAAAACGTTATTTCAAAAATTTTGCAAAAACAAAATAAAACGAAATAAAAGTAAAAAAAAACAGTGAAAAATACTTGAAATAAATAAACGTGGTACAAATAAAATTATTGAATATAAAATAACATCTATGCGAAAAATTCCCGAAAAGATACATTCCCTTTAGTTGGAAAATATCTTCATAGATTTCCCACATTGAAATTTCTTTTTATAAACAAAATGGAAATAAAATTCCCTACAAAAAAACACATTCAACAATTACATGATTTATATACAAACATATATGAAATTATAATGATCGATAAACATCAAAATTACAAATCTATATCAAAATATACATTTACAAATATGATAAAATAAAATACTAATAAAAGTTTTTATTCATGACTAAATTGCAAAAAATAAAAAGTTAAAGGGCCAAAATAGTAATAACATAAAGCTAAAGGCTTAAAACAGTAAAATGAAAACTTAATGGACTAAAATGGTATTAACAGAAACTAAAAGGTCTAAACAATAATTACAAAATAAACCATAACTAAAATCACAAACATTAAATAGCACAAGTACTAAAACTAAAAATAATCCATAAATAATATTTAGGACTAAAATGAAATAAACAAAAATATAAAAGGCTAAACCAGAATTAAACCAAATGCCAACAATAACTAAAATGAAATATTTACAAAAGTAAATTATACATACGTTATTGCATTTGATTATGAAAGGGTTAGGTACGATGAAAAGTGCATTCTTTTTCTTCCTATAAGAAAGAGTCAAAGTTTGGTGGGGTATGGGGCCACAAAATAATGGTTCACAAGGAAAATAGGATTGCAGTTGATCTTAGTTGGATTTAATTGTGGGATTTCATATTGAAATAAAAACGCTTTTCCCCTAGACTTGTTTTCTTATTAGATGATTTTTTTTTCCAAACATTAACAATAATATCATATTATTTAATAATAGAACTAAATTACAACATATGTAAAATAAGAGATCAAAGTAAATTATTTTAAAGTTGCGTAAATGACTAAACATGATTAAATTACAACTAAAGAGAACCTTCTTCGCAAATAAACCATGCGCGAAAATGCTCCCCCAGGTCCCCTTAAAACGACGTCGTTTCATGCCTAATATATATATAGGATAAAAAAGGCCAAAAAATGGTTATTCCCTCATTTTTTTCCATTTCTGCGAAACAGAGGACTCTCTCTCAACTCTCACCGGAGAAAATAGAATTGGCAACCGACAATGGCGCTTACGACGGCGCTCGCGGCGGCACATGGTGGCCGTTGAGACCAAATTACCCCCAATCGGTTCCTCTCTTTCTCCTATAACTGAAACCCAACTTAGTATTACCTAAAAACCATCATAGCCTCGTAGATCTAGGTTTTATATTTCAAGTATTTTGAAAAAAATGGCGACCTTGGGCTTCTCAGTTTCAAACGGAGGTAAAGTTTTTCTCTCTGTTTATTATTTGATTTTCCTTTTTTTCCAACCCCGAATGCTCTATTTTTCTCTCTTTTTTCTTCCCCTTTTTTCACACGTCGAATCACTCTCTTTATGTTTTTTTTCACTCACCAAATACCTTGTCTTTTTCTTTATTTTTCTTCCTTGCTTTATTTGTTGGGAATGGTTGGAATTTGTTTTTGACTTTTGGTTGTGATTTGGTGCAGGTTGATGACGACGACTTGGTAGCTCGGCGGCTGTAAGGTTGATGGCGGCGTGACTGGATGTTATTGGCAGCGACGGCTTAGGGTTTCAGACCCTAAATGGCCGTTGATCTGAACCGTTGGATGGGTCCATATCAAACGGTCCTGATGATGCGCGCTAGGGCAGAGAATAGGAAACCGGGTCTGGGTCGGTTACTGGGCCGGTCGGATCAGTCTGGGTCTTGTATTTGGGTCGGGTCTACTTGTACTGGGCCTTGGTAGGCTGTTGGGCTTATGGGTTGTATTGGGCATGCACAAGATTTAATTGTAATAATAATAATAATTTTCGGATAAAAACGGGTGTCTACAATATGCATAAGAGTATTATTACAATTATTTATGAATGTATAAGCTATAATTATTATTTTTTTGGTTGGATTAAGTATT